CATTTCTACTCTATTTTTCACCATAAGTTGACCTCACTTTCAGGACGAAACTTTGATTACGATTCCAAAATCTAACCATACGGTCATCCGATACGCAATTTCACTGAAGTTGACAGAAATTCATTTTCCATCAAGATAACAGGCTGGTGAGTCTACGTTGAGTCAATCAGGCTTGCATTCTAGTGTTGAGCAACGGAAATTTCAGGTGGCAGGCAGAGTGCAAGTGTCAAGTCGGCATGTTTTCAATACCCTTCCGGTGTGCTTGAAAAGGTGGTTCTTTCAACTTACTGATAAATAAGCTCCCAACAATTATGTGTCTCCGTATTATAAAGAGTATATGAATATTGTCCAGTGGAGATGCATTTGTCGGTGCGCTTTTAACCGAGTTTCTTACTGATAGAGTGGGGTGCTCATTTTGTTCACCAGCCCTTTATTCACAACTTACTGTCCAACAATAAACCAATTATGTCACCTCTGATAAAACGGAGAGATTTGTTGAAAACCGTGCAGTCAGGGGATCTTATGGGGACCGATGTCGTATTTGACAGTTATCTCAGACTCCAACTTTAATAAATATAAGGCCTTCAAAATGTTTCAATATGATCATCCGACTAGATTGCATCCTCTCATCTTCCACGGGTATCACCAACAGCTTTGTTGAAAGGCTCGCCCGAAAGACCATTCGTATAACAAATCTGATCTACGAATCAACTAACTAACTTAATAACTCGTACAGCTTCGTTTGAAGGAATGAAACCAACAAAACGGATGAGGATATTAAACTTGGTCAAAAGATAAACAGTAGGAAAAATAATTTCATACAAGGTCACGTTCGTCGTCTTGGTCATAGTAATGAAGGAATGCATCTCTGGTCACTTGATAGAGGAGAGATTTTTACTGAGAAGTGTTTCGGTGGGGTATCGCCGAATCATGATGATATTGCATGTGAGTGCGGAATTCTTGTTCGTCAGCACAGTGGAAAGTGCAGTGGGAGCATCTACGGAGACGAAACACCAAACCAGACGAGGTTGTGACCTACAACACGGAAATGTAAAAAGCTAGATGATGTTTTCATTCAGAGGCGATGACGTATACACTACGTATATGAATTTCAAGCATCTTCCAGACTTCCTAGTGAGAGTCTACTCGAGCAACAATTTTATGGAATCTACAAAATGGAAATGCATGATGCTATTGTATAAGCGTGGCCCTAATTTCACTTGACAATTCATGTTACTTGGAATGCAGATTCGTCAAAACTGTCATTGACTGCAACTGTATTTACTCTGTCTTTTTAATAAATGAAGGTTTTATCTTTTAGTCTATAGTTCTAATTGCTGGTGTGAAGAGACTTGTCTCGACAGCATCCCGTAGTTGAACAGTTTGATGTCACCCGCGCAACCGTTCTGCGACTGGGGCACCGTTTGGCTTGAAAAATCAAGATTCATAGCTTAAACCGATTCAGTGTAAATTTTAAGACACCAGTGGATTAAAGACCTCTGTGAAGTCAGAAAACCGCCGAAGGGACTGGCATATAACTTATGGTTAATGAACGCGTTTGCACTGGCCTCGCTGTCGAAGGATTAAAGCACAAGAAGAGGTTTAGCTAGTGATTACTTCTCGCTGCCATTTGCTTTTATTTTACTTTGCAGGCATATTTCGATGTATACTTATCGCAACGGTTACCATATGATTTTAGTCCGATTTAGGTCCCTGATGCTCATCTGTCTGGTGCATGCTCGACTCATTTTGGACAACGGATGCTGAAGACTTTTGCAAACTGAGTACCTTTTCCGGTCTAAAACCATATTTTTCTCTCATCTTCTTACTTTGCCCTATGTCCTTGACTTAACCCCTGCCTATGCTCATCAACCGCATCGGTGAAGCCAGCGATTCTACCACACCTTTCAAATTACCGCGTCAAAAGCTATCTACCAAGAAAAATTATGAGGTGCTGTCTGAGTCAGCGCTTTCCCAAGGGCTGAATGAGGAAGAACCGAGGTCAGTTTGAGTAACTTTGTTGTCCATGTTCCAAACATAGTCACAGTTCCAAGTGATTTTTGAAGATTTTATTCCATCATTCGCAGAAGACTGGCCAGCTGGAGGTCCCTGAGTCATTTTTGTAGATAAATCAGCCTACATTGGTAGTATTGATGACGTCTTCCCGGACAAACCTTAAGTTACGCAAATGACAACTTATTGTGTCGCCGTAAACAATGAGGAAGAACTGATTCCATTACTTATGAGTGCATTCGTCCACGCGGCACACCGACATCCCGTCTATAGGCCTCTCTATCAGGTTTATCTTTCCCTTTTTATTCTCCTACCGTGTTTTGGACGAGTGGTCGTCCTGCTGTTAGAACCAACAAGGATAGGTCGGCGCAAAGTTTAAATGTTCCTCTTGAGTTCGTTTAACACAGTACGGATCGCTAAACATCACATGTTCTATATTGACATCATCACCCTAGGTACTAACGTACCACGCATGTAGGCAATAGATCATGTTTGCGACTCAACTGACAACAGTGACATGTATACTGGCAAAACTATTCCAAGACCATGAAGAATTACCACTACTTTGTACCAACAGTTTCCACTCAGTTGCAATGTTAGCATTTATAGACAGAAAGGTGGGTTGCGCTGAGTCGGCCTTTGAATTCCTTCTCAGTAGGTACGTTCACGTGGAATCCAGTATTCATACGGAATAGTTAGGCAGCTCACACTGTATGGCATCTACGCAGAAAACATCTTCATATTTGCTGATGATAATACCAGTAAAACAGACTTCCAAAGCACCCAACCACGCACTGATAATGTCTCTACGACTGATGACGAAACGTCTGTAAGCATACTACCAAGTAAGGTAGAAGGATCAACAGCCCCCTGATCTGCAATCAGTTAACGTACCCGGGCTACCAATATTTTGATATATTGCCAGTCCACGAAATCGGATTTTGTATTTGACGCTTAAACTGTTCTCGAATTTTACTTCTAGTCTCATTAGCTGGTTCTACTCGAAGGGCAGAGTGAGGAACTCTACCGCTAACTCAGGAGTGTACTCATTCATATATTCATCCAATCGTGCTGAACCATCATACACTGGTCGTACGATAAGACGTTCGCCAGACAACGCGCGAACACCATCACGTGGTAGTTGGGAGAAGTTCAACCCCAGTGTAATTGCATCACATCTGACCGAAACCATTCACGTCACAGGCAAGGAACAGGTCATCCAAGTCATACACCGGATGTCTCTGAAACGAACACGACTGATACGATTCAGACTATTTGTCACAAACTACTGGGACCCAACCACATAACCCGAAACTCTGCGTCTAGAGGAAGCTTCTGTGATTTTTGAACTTGACCTGGCCTACCAACAAGTCTCTTCCATAAGCCTGTGTGTGTCGCCACCAAATGACCTTGTATTTCTTCCCCCTGTTTTTATGGACATGTATCCAAGAGCTTCGTGTAACTGTTGTATACATTTTATAATAAGCATCAAATGGACTTGTGGTGTAATAGCTAGGAGAACCGAGCACAGAAAACAAGCTTTGCTCGCTACCTTTGTTCTCAAGGTAATGAATGTCTCTGTTCAAAGGGTAATACTATCGTGCATAAAATACACCACTAATTTTCTATTCTAACGTTTCGTAGCAAAGTAATTCCTCATGCAGGACAGAAAACCTCACAAAAACACAAAGTAGCACCTAGCGATCTGAACTTCATGCAACTATTGCAGAAATAATAAAACAAACCTAGGCCCCGAACAGAATTTCAGTCACTCCCGCATGGATTCGAAATCGTGTTCAAAACGGGGCATACAAAGTGCTATCAGAGGCAGTCTGTCTTCCTTGAATTGCTTTGGCAGTCGTTATAATGAAATCCAGAATGCCGATGAATGAATCCATTTTCACAGTGAAAAATCTGTCAGCTTTGAACTATGACTCACTCAGGTTTATTTGTCACAAGTATCGTGCCCGCATGGTACGAAAGGATGTTAGAATCATCCTAAAAAGATGATCAGAACTACTCTCACCCAGGTATTTCAACTTCCAATCCTTGCTCCCCATTTGGTTGTAAGCAAAGTTTGGTTTATCCTGTGCGTCGTTGACACTACCACCCGCACAAAGCCACTTCGTAGGTCGACCATAGACTTAATTGTTCGTATTTTATACTTGATTGGAAGTAGATCAAGCCATGTTCACAAAACGGCAACTATACTCTTCTAAGTTTGACTGTGTATATCATTGTGCCGTCGATCCAAGCCAGTTACCTGGAATCGAATGAAGAAGTATGTCGTCTATTGTCCTGACATAGAAGTTAGTGCGAACTGTGTTTTTTATCTGCAAAAGTCATGCTTCAAAACATCGCAGAACAATCAGTCCAAGCTCATTTCTTACTTCAAGCCATTTGGACATGAGTTCATCAGAGTCATCGAACCTGAACTTATTTTTGTCCACGCAGGTCACATACGTTATGACGCAGTTACGGACATTATTCATCCAGAAAACATGTCTCATATTTCTGCACTCCAAATATGATGCACATTGTAACACACTGTATTAGTTGCACAACTTGATCCAAACAGAGGAAACCTAGAAGCTTCGCGGCACCCGTCCAGTGCTTTGAAGCAAGGCGAAAAAATTCTGTTTAACGAAATACACTTATTTGCATTTTACAGTCTATGGCAAATGTGTTCCCTGTTACTCACTACGAGAGACAAATGGATAATCGCTGACTGTCATCTGTGCACTGAATGTAATTGCATCCTTCATCACTGCACAAACACGAGACATCAACGTCTACCCTTGTACTGAAATGAACGAACCTGCTAAGTTACATAGAATAACACAGTTGAGTCTGCGAGCAATGGACATACCAAACGGCTTGTCTGATTCTTGGTCGGGTAAGTGCAGCAGCGACTAGAATAACCTCTACCTACTGTTGCATCAACTAGTAGTTCCACACAGCTTTTATCTGAACGTACAAGAGCTCACCTCTGTCGCGGACACAGCACGCGTGCTGTCGGACCCGTCTGTCTGGCTTGCCACAGGATTTTGGCCTTGCATAATAGAGACCGATTTATCCGAGTCTGTTTCTCTGGGTGTCTGAATCATTGGGGAATAGTCGACCTCGTTATCCACGATGACTAACGCTTGTGGGCTTTGTGCAGACTCCTGATCATCCGTACCTCCTCTTCCTGTTGGGTCATGTGTTCCTGATGGTGTTGATCCGTATCGCCCAAGTACAGGTGGTTCCGGATTGACGGGAGATGTTCCTGGCATGCTTGATTCCTCATCGTTGTTGTTTACTGATAACGATGGATAAAGTGTATTCGGCGGCGTCACAGACAATAGGTTTGTTGGCTCCATAGCGATCAGCGTCGGCATCGCAGTACTGACCTCATCCATATATTGCTGTACCGGAGGTGTGGGTGGATGTTCTACTCCGACACCTGGGATACCGTACTGTGGAAAGTAATTGTACAGTATATTCCCTACCGGTGGCGGATGATACCTGACAATGCGTAATAGCGCTTCATTGGACAAATGAGCAACATGTCGCCCAAGTGGGCAACGTCGCATGTGTTTCGCAACGTCCCACTTCCATTTGGCTCGATACGGGCAATAACAGCAACCGAACATGCGATGTTCCGAATGATTCACCATATGCGCCCGTAACTCGCTGAACCATCGGGCATCAAATTTGCACACGGGGCAACTGATAACACACTCATAAGATGAGCTTGTCGATTTGTTCGTTTCGTTGACCACTGGTTTCTGTAAGACCTCCGCTTTAGCATTTGATACATGGGGTACGATAGTGTGGTCTATCTGCGATCGACATTGAGCGTTGTAAGGGGACTGAGTATCGCAGCCAATATGTGTATGCGCTGAACCGAATCCTTGGGCTAAATGGCTCACTAAGGTTGTTCCGAGTTCGCAGGATTCCATGTACGACTGTTGGATTGTTTTCTGTCCCGGTGAGGACAGTCGGGCATGATAAATGTTCGGTTGACCAGATTGATCATATTCCGGAACTTGTGGTGGTTCAAGTGCCGAACTTTGTGAACAATGTTGCGGTGCTGGTGGCAGTACTTGTTTGAACTGATTACATTCGGAGATTCGTTGTGAACTTATGGGAGTCCGACGAGCATCTTCTTCTCCCAGATGGTCGTCAGACTTGCCTGGGGTTGGCACTGAAACACCGGAAGTTGTGGTCTCCGCCTTCTCGAAAGATATGTCGTCCTTCTTCTCGTCCACAAGAGCGACGAGAAGTGTTCCAATGGCAAATAACATACTGGCTGACGTACGTGAGAGCCTGAGACCAGTGTCAACGCCGGAATCTGATGTCTCTGATTTCAGAGTATTGAGTGCCGTCTGAAGCAGACCTATCAATAAGGAACAGCTTATATCTGGAGAGGATTTCTTCAGGGGAAAGAGTTCGTTGTATTTCTTTGTACAAGGGTTTACCTCGTGGTCGTCCGTCGTCTTTAGTATTGATAAGTCCAGTGGCTTGAGTTCATTCGAATTTGTTTTCGGGGNCGTCTGAAGCAGACCTATCAATAAGGAACAGCTTATATCTGGAGAGGATTTCTTCAGGGGCAAGAGTTCGTTGTATTTCTTTGCACAAGGGTTTACCTCGTGGTCGTCCGTCGTCTTTAGTATTGATAAGTCCAGTGGCTTGAGTTCATTCGAATTTGTTTTCGGGGATGAATTGGAGGTCATGTCCCGGTTTGGTGACAACTGAATTGTTCTGTCAGGACTCCTGACAGTACTGGTCGAACTATTCAAGCTACGAACATGAACTGGTTTTTCTGTATAATCCACGGTACTTCTCTTTTCATTGGTACATGAACCATACCAGTCCTTCTCATAGAAACAGCTGGGGCGGCGCTTAGATACGTTCGTAACCGGCGAGCTATTACAAGGCGAAGATGACATACCCAATGCGATTGCCTCCTTGTTCGTTTCTTCCGGTCTTAGCCTCTTTTTGCGCTCCCTTTCGTTGGCATTGTTTGACTGTGCTGTTGTCTTCGCCTCATCAGCAGGATTTCGCTTTGCAAGAGCCATAGACATACGCTTTGGTTGAATCGTTGACCCAGGTCCTTTCATGAGTGGGGCCGACGCACGCCGTAACCCAGTAGTGAAAGACCGACCGGCAAGAACTACTGTTGTTGGCACTATGTCAGAAAATGCACTCGACCCTGTAGTAACTTGACAGTTACCACTGGCTGGAGGAATATTTTCCACATTCTCCACCTCTGAAATCGAACTCCCGTGATCAGTTGTCTGTCCTTCCCCATCTGAAGGTTCTTCATCATCCTCGTCATCGTCTGGCGGTGCACCATCAGGATGAGGAATATCACTGTGCTTATCCTTCCAATGTTTGTTCAATGACTTCTTGTGTTTGTAGCTTGAATTACAAATCCGACAAAGATAGAGAATAGATCCATCTTGTTTACGAGCCTGACGATCAAGTAGAAAAAAGGAAAACAGTAGTTAAGGCACGACACTCCTCCACCAGTGAAAATGTAACTGTTAGAACGAGCGAAATAAGTCTGGCGGTTCCATAGCTAATTAGTCTTCAATACAAACCAATACAAAAGAGCGAGCTGTTGAATCTACCTGGGGTAATGTTGGACAGAATTTTACGACTAAAATAACAAAAAATTCCCTAATTAAGAACTAGACTGCTACACTCAGGGTTCACTATCATCACAGTATGGGCAGCTGTTTTTGTTCGACTCCACTCTGGAGCGTGATATCCGGTCAATGTTGGCATGTAAATTATGGACGGGAGAAGCAGGGTGAGTTTCGTGCAGGATAATGGAGTTTGACTTGCACTGGGAGACGTCCGTGTGAGGACGCACAACATAGGTCGGTCACAATGGCGATTAATTCCATGTTAGAGGACAGTGCCAGAGCTTGTCTTCTGTTTCGGTACAAGATAAGTGCTCGGATAAGCGTATGACATGGGGTTTGTGATCGCGAACGCACTTCTGCCGACCCGCCACCTCCCCGCACACCCCGTTTGTCGACAATCGCATGTCCTCGGCAAACGAGAAAATGTGAACTAGGCACGACGACCTGAGGACAAGATAAATTTGGTGAAGGTTTGTGTCCATGACATCGTGCCAATGGGTGGAGTGAACTCGGAGGGCGCCAGTATACCGGAACGCACACTCTACCGCCCAAATTTTGTTCCATCATGACAGCAGAATAGAATGGTCACGGGGACACGTGGCATGACTGGTACAGGCATTCTCAACCCAAACTAGGAACCACAACGGACAGTAGTTAAATCCTGTGATGGACTGTAACATTTTGGACCGATAAAAATCCCGTGGGAAGACTAAAGGTAATGAACGTCGTATTGGGTTGGGCTGCAGTAATCGAACGTCTCGGTTGCTAGGACAACCTTTTTTGAATTATTTCTACAAACAACACAATGTAACATTGGCTTCCTCAAGCCCTTGCTATGGTCCGTGGACAAAAATGATCGTACATTTTTGTTGCTAACATTGCTACGGGTCCGAACTGCGTGTCATTCTAGACGAAGATGAATGGAAGTTTAAAACGCCTTAGCCCGCAGACAGTGTTCAAAGCACGAAAAACAAAAGACGGGCGACCCAGAGAACTAGGCCAACGAGTATGCGATATGTATACCGTGCTGAGCGTAGGACGGTCAAGTGGCTTTCTAATAAGGATGTTTACGAAACCATATGACGGGAACACTTTTCATTCTGGAGTGTTTGCAAAATATACATTAACTCTTATTCTTACCCTCTGCAGTCATGCGGTGCGAGAATGCATTGAAGAAAGCCAAAGAAACAAAAAAACTGTGATAAAGCATATTCTAACGCATTTTAGAACATAACATTATCAAGTTTACGTACCGTTGGATCCTAAAAATAATTCTACCATCGTTGACGAGCCTAGAAGATAAACGGAAGATTGTGGTGTCCCGCAATTTTTTAGCCGAGATTTGACAAGTGACTGATATGTTCACAGAATAATGACGGTCAACATGGTACCAGATTGAATGGGGGGAGGTCCGCGTGATCTGACAGCACTAGTGTGTTTACTGTGTACACGCGCACTCAACCCGTTTTATTGTGCCCTCTGGCCAGGTTAACAGTCAGCTGCAGCTAATATCGCTCTATCCGCTCTAACAGGCCTGCTTTACTATAGCGCCAACCTTTTTTGTGGTACCGTCATCTGAACAGGCTTCGAAAGCGGTGTCCGTGTCGTAGGGCGTCACACGCCACACAGTCGCCACGACAAAAGCAGGGTTATGCAGGTCGAAGTACGACGCATATACTGAGCATCTTCGAAGTAAAATTTACTGTGTAGTTTGTGGGGTCGCTTGTGGCGAGCGATCGTTGAACGGACCACCGTATTCACACAGATTAATTTTGTCATTTTCAGATTCTTAAAACAAATGCGATGTTCACTGAAAACGCACTCATCAGCAGACGTCAATTGTGAACAGTCCGTGAGGAATGTTGCTTCCAGATTTGTTCGTTGTCAAACGAAAAGATTTAAGGGTCAAGTAATTTGTGAATAACAGCTGTCATTTAAATCCATTCGCGATGGCATGTGACTTGCGAACATGCTTAAAAATAAGCGCCTCCATTGTATGAGAGGAAGCGTCAATGAAAGCATGCATACAAAGGGCCCGATGGTTACAGTGTACCAACACACCACTCACGAGGCATTGCAACTTCGGTTTCGGATGTGACTAACAGGGAAAAATAAATTCCACTCTGTCCCAAATAAAGTATCTAGCGACAGAGTGTGTCGGATCTCTCACCATGGACTAATTGGTGAAACATCTAGTGGAGGTAAGTCTATACCTCACCTGTACTGTGTAGGCTGCTTGGATAAGGTGCCGTATGTGTCCCAGTTAAAAATGAACGGTGGATGAACTGATAAGTCAGGATGAGGCAACGTGGAACATCGCTCTGCTACAATAAAGTCAGGTGTTCTATTCTTTATACAACGCATATTTAAGGTTGACCTGCCAGAAGTGAGTTCATATGCATTTTGACATTTGTCTGGTATTTTGCGGATCATTCAAAGTTATAGGTTATTTCTTCATGAACAATTTTCTCTCCTAATCCCATACTGATGTATGTCACCGCTGGCACTGAGTGATATCTTTTACTTGGTAATTGTCTAAAAGCCCTATTTCTGACATTGATCAGAAAGTAGGGAGGCAGTGACCGATATTCACTGAATGAGGGAAGCATGAATTGTTCTATAAAACAATACTTCCCAACACATGGCTTATTCATTTTGTCAGTTCATTCGTATCTTTCGTCGGTGCGCAAGGCACTTGTTGTAAAGAGATTGTCACCCTGACTGACATTAGTACATCCCATAAGGCGATAATTGCAGAGTGATTTGATGGCTAAATGATGTGCAAGGGAAGGAAGGGTCCAATGAGATCGAGAAAGACACTCATTTGCGAATCAATTTGGTTTTCACGGGAGACTCAATTAAATCTCTTGTTTATGATGTCCTCTAGCTGAATGTGCTGCACAAAGGTGCCTCATGATTCAGTTGGCACGATATTCGAGATATCGCAGTATATTTTCATAAAGGATATTTACCAAAAACGGCGGCACAGAAACATGATGGTCTTGTTTGAAGTTAACACAACAAATCATGAGAGCAATAACATGGGCAAAATCCTAATTCGGAATGTCCAGCGCGAACTCAACGAAGTATAAATTCGATCCTCGCAGCACCACTCGTTTTACTCAACAGAAAGTGGTGTGAAACGAGAGTAGCGCTGTGACGGAATTAAAAGCTAAGGATGCCTCTTATCGAACCTGTGAGTTAAAAATCATGGCTACACAGTTGGGTCGATCGATATCTAGATCCAAAAAAGTAAATTGTAGACAATCACTTTTGAAAGTATTCAGTCAATGGCGTTTGTTGTTTTTGGGAGATACAACATACTCTTAAAAACATAATAACCGAGAGATTTAGCCGGATTCTAGGTGAGTCTATCAAAAAACTGAATTTGTTTGCAAATGTGTCTTTTGCTAAAATCATACTCTTTTTATCAATCTTTCAGCTGTAGCATCCTTTCGGTTCCTAACCGCCATGCCACCAGAAGGAAGCACGAGGGCTGGGATAGTGCCAGGTCGCCCAAGCCTATATAGGGGAAGTCGAGAGATAGATGTCGGGTTCGAACCACGGACGCTCCGATCAGTAAATTCGTGCTCTAACCGCTGAGCCATTTCGCTCTCTTACCAATGGGTTGGTTAGTTTGGTGACTTCACAAAGCCAGACCCAGTAAATCACGGCTGGCCTTTTTAGACCTAGATCTGGTTGTTGTGTGCGCAAACTCGGTCCATTTAGTTTCTGCAAAAGACTGCATTAGGTAATCTGTTTATCTTCACATCTTCGGGTGAATCTTCTTGGTGTCTTTATTGTCATGTTCGCTCAGATGAGGCAAAGAGCTTTGCCTCTTTTAGTTTCGTGAGATTTATCATTCTGCTCCTATTGATATACCGGGTAAGCGTCGATTTTTCTTAAATTGACACTTTCCGATATCACAACAAGAATGAGAAGATTGGGGTAATTGGGACCCAAGGCTATTGGCTAACCTTGATGCTCCATAGTTGTCTCTGCGATAAAACACACTAGCTGTTTATTACTGAAACAAACGACTACAGTAGAACTGATGGTATAAGGTTCTCTCATGTGATGTAACCTTTCAAAAGAAAGCGCTTCTCATTAAGGTAAATACGGTCTAATTTCAGAGAGATAGAATAGCGGGGGTTGGTGCTGAAATAAATGGTCAAAATCTCGTGACGCAGGCCGTTATGTCGGACTCAGAGAGGCAGTGTGGTAAAAAATCAGTTAGCATCGTTCCCCAATAATCGACTACTAACATGCAACCCGGTAGATCTCTGAAGCCTTGACCTGCTTGTTAGTTGATTCGAGACCACCAGAGGTCATTCCTTCGCCTCAGTAGCAGTCTGCTGTGATCCCGCGCCTCTTTCGACAACTTTCAAGTTCTATTCAAAAGGAGACCGTGGATTAATTTCCTCAGTACATTCGTTTTATCGGTCACCCTGCGGCTACTCACTTCTTAGACTTGGTGACCTAAACGGTGGTCACTTCGTTTTTTGTCTCAAGACGGTTTAATGCGATATGCCATTCATTCCATTTGACTCGGTGTTCTGCGGGCACTTTAGTGATTCCGTGGGCATTACTTCTGTTGGTGTTTTCATGGATGGGAGAACTCGAAGCATCTGCCGCACATGTTTGACTTAGATAACAAGTGAAGGACCCTTTATACTCAACGTACTTATTATTTATTATTCTGTTTTTATGCTTTTCCTGAAACCCGGCCCGATCATGCAAACCTCCACCAAGTCTTTTAATCAATAAGTTTTCATCGCAATGAATCCGGTATTTATCTCGCACCTGCGTAGGTGCAATCCAGGTACGGCAATAAAGAGAGCTCACCTGCTTTCCTTCAACTGATCCTTCATCAACAAGTGATAATCACAACTGCGAATCTTGCACTCCTGACCTTGAGGCATCATCAACTAACCCTTTGGGTAGCGTAAAGATTGGCAATGTTAGAAAACGAGTGGCGCATAGGCTAAACAGTTTGAGAATACTTTTAATGACACCTAACTGAAAAGCGGTTGAAGAACGATTCATCTGCTTAAGATATCAATTGGATAACACAACACGACATTATCTTTTGTTGTGACAGTAGACCCGTACAGACAGATTCACACAGCACAGAGGTACGGTACTCAGTCCCAGGAAAGTCAAGAGCACTCGGCCATACGGAAGGACGAATAGTTCGACAGTGTGATAACTGCAAAATTAAAGTCCTATTAGCCAGGAAATCGCCGGGCAGGGGGTTGGTAGTCATCAATGGGCCACCAATGGGCACCCAGCGAGAAGCAGTAGCTCATCTCAACACAATACCACTAAACGGCGCGACCGCCTCATATTGAACTACCCAAAATTTGGCTCCAGCCTTCTGTTCAACGAAAGAGTCATTTCAAATAAATGACAGGCAGAAATATACTCGACGTATCAGTGAATATCTCACTCAGCTGCTCAGTATTGTCCAAGTGATGAGTTACGCGGTCTGATGCAAACTGAGTGAACTGGACAGTGGTTGACTGATCATAGATAAGATTTTCCTGCGAACAAACGGCTTCCAACGTAGAGGTGACTAAGGGTAACCGACTTCTCCATCCATACGTGATTTTAATGTGCTAAACATATATTCACTTTCAGTATGAGCCAAAGGGACACCGACAGTCTCTAGCTCATGTCGTTTTGTCAGGCGCAACTTGTCTGTGTTCAGCTGGGGTTGCATTCATCGCTCACTACCTTTTTGCAAAGATCGTGTGACCATATATCTAGACGAGTACAATCTTTGAGCAGTGATGCTTCAGACCCTACCCTACCCTAGCTCAGGTGGTCAATAGTTAGGTGATTGACGGTTGTTCCAGTTTGTTTGTCCCATAGTGTTCACTCCAAGTAGAGGTCCGAGCCAAAGATTAATCCAGTAGAAGGAATACAGAAATGCTTTACTTGGTGTCACACGCAGCAGCCCGGTCAGCGAGACCCTACCACCACTTTGGCTACTGTCAACCAAGTGGCCAAATGATTCAGTTAGGTGAGTTTTTCTTTGGTAGCTTCATTGGGACCAACGACTTGCTGGTGTCGTATACCAGATAAGGAGAATCGATCCTCTTCGTACAAAATTCACATCAGAAAAGAGAGCGATCGGATAAACTGGTTATGGATGTATTGTGCCGTTATTCTATAAAAAATCCAATCGTATCGCTACATCAAATGTGCGAACGAGAATGTATGTGGGGTATGAAAGGCATAAAGGGGAACAATCGTGAAGAATAATGGGCCACTTATCCAAATGAGCTGTGCTATTTTACCCATACCGTAGCCTCACGTTTATGGACCCATAACCTGTTCCCCCTGTTCTATTTACTGATTCAACCTGTACGTTCTGTCGGCTTGCGTTCGAGGGAAATTCATAAACGGGTCAAATTCACAGCAAAAAACCCCAATCAGATTTCCGTACTTACAAACTTCTACAACAATCTCTACATAATCTACAAGAAGCAAAAAATCTACAGGTAACCAATAGGCATGTGTTTAGAGGAAATTCATAAACGGACCAGCTTCTCAGTAAGTAAACCACAATTCACTGGTCATAATTGAAAAAAAAACTGCAAAAACCGAGAGTAGGTAGTAAGTTTCTGCCAACTTAGTCGTGCAGCGGTGACAGAAACTAGCGCGATAACATACCTCGAGAAACTTCCATGATTCCACGGGCCTCCGGATTTGATAGCGAAATCCACCGCTAAGCATGTAGGAAACACCAAAATTGTGGGAATTTTCCGAACCAAATTCACTGCCGCTTGTACAGTGTTCCATCGCACGATCTGATCCGTGAGACATTTGGCTTAACATATCAGATTGTAAATGTTGAACTGGCAGTGATGTCAAAAAGGCAGTCTGACATTTACTCCCGTCCATCTGCGAATCGGCCCAGTGTGTATGATGCTGCTGTTTTTGCATCAGTGGCATTCTTGTGGCTAGCTCGGACGCCATTGCCTCCGGTCACCCGCCGACGAACTGAATCAGCTCAGATCTGAGTCGCTGTGTTCTGAATTTCACAGTGCGCAGGCGTGGGTGGGAGGAGGGAGTTTGCTGTAGGGGTGAGTGTGTTGCAGACTGGCGGCGTGTATGGGAAAGCGCTGAATACCTACAGGCACTCTGTGTCTGTCTTCTGAGTAGTCCCCACCTCCCCTGCCACATGCTGACTGTTCTTACCATATCCAACCAAAGTGCTGAGTTGGAGCTCTTGCCTGTCCGTGACTCACAGCTATGGCAGAAACGATGCAAACAAGCATCGTGTTCTGTGTGCGTGCGCGTCGTGCTTGCAGCTCACAGTATAGGATCTTTGGTCTGAACGCTCATCGATTTTCTCAAAAGTCGGGGATGGAAACAATGACAAATACTGTGGTTTTTGCCGTGTTTGTGCCTATCAGTATACGGTTGGCTGAGCATAAACCATCAGTGACGCTGCTCAGACCCGAAGGCAATGTTTACGGGGGGGAGTGGAGACACGAGATTGTGTCGCACATCCGCGTCGTGTTCTAAAACAGAAATTGCCGGGTTTTGAGACCAAATGCCGCGCGTGTTTCAACATGCACAACGGAACTTCGCGTGAAGCCTCGGTCTGGGACCTACAACAGCGTCTGTAAGATGTTGTACTGGGTGCAAAGAAAATGGCAGGTACATGTTTTTTAACATGTACGGCCACGTGCTTTTCACCGGTTTTCGGTTATCCGCGATGATCTGTTAAAGCTCAATAATCAGCCGAAACAACGGATCAAAGTATTGTAGTTTTTCAGGCAAACTGCAGACAATCTACAATCTGGCTTCTGGGGCGAGCGTGTGGCACAGCTGGTTGTTTGGACCAACGCCATACACTATTCACATGCAATGATGCGACACGTCGCCGCCGATACTCAGCGCTCTGGTGTCGGAGTTATAAACAGTGTTGAAACACGCAAAACGACACCTTAAGCCAGCGAAAGGACGTTACAGTCTGAATATCGTGTAGCCTAATAAGGTTGTGGTCCCATAACTATTCCAAACTTGTGGTGGACTCAGTCAAAGGTGTAAAAGTCTTTGAAAGTAGGGAATTTCCGGCTTGTATTTTCAGGTGTAACATCTTATTGTACGGTAGCAGAAAGAATGTGCACACCGTTATTTTACCCCACCCCCTACCCCGAAAATTTCCGAAAGTGATCAGTTCCGCCTGAGCTCACCGGTGAACGATGAGGATGTCGCTGTTAGTCTGCTTTCACACTGTCCTGATAGAGAGTGAATTTCGGCAAAAAAACAGGTATCTCTGTGCTCTCGGGGCCAGTTTGACGACACCCAACTAGTTGATTTCGTCTTTTTCATCCGAGTGCAAGAATTACGGCTTCACAGTTGCACTGTTTTGAGTGGTGTTCATACTAAGCACCAGTCGACCTACTAAAGATGTAGAGCCCTTGCCTTCTAGAAAGACTAAAAGTCTTCTAGAGATCAACTTTGACTGACCTGACCACCAGTGGAATATAGAACCAGTCTTCTTCTCTTATCCAAGACCAGTTCTTAACTCAAATGCCGGGCGAAATTCCCCTCATACGCAGCCGAAAACTCATCAGCTGCGCTCATTTGACAAGCAACCGAGCGTTTTTTGTAATTCTGACAATTAAAGGGTCTAACGCTTGTATCCATGAGAAGTGCGAACCAAGTGACTGCATTGATTACTTCTCTGAATTAATTTCCCCCGGGTATGTGATATCCAAACGGTGATAACTGAAACGAGTATGCAGCTCAGTTTGGGGAAGATTTCCAAAAAGAAACCCGTCAGATATTGAAAAGAAAAACGCTTGGAATTTGAGGAAAACACTATTTTAAAAAGTCGCTAGCGAAGGGAGAATCAGTGGACTGATGACGAGTAGTCAGAATTGTCATTGGATATGTAAATGACCTTAACAGAAGATCCGACAATTACCAGGCGATCGATGGCTGTAGTGACAAAGGACGGTTTCCTTTGTTCGTTAGTGTGAACACTTAAGGAAGGCCTTGCATGGCTGAAAGGGAAAACTGCGATCTTCTTAGTGAAAAAATGGATTGTTATCTACAAATCTACTAGGAAATATACCATGAACACTAAAAAGTGGTAAAAGGTAATGAAACAACATTAAAGGCATTTCTACAGAGCAGCATGGTTGTACTTTTCTAATGATTCCACTCGGAAGGGATCAGTTTTGGACAATCTCTTCCAAACGTCTCTCCATATAAAGACGAAAACGGTTTTGTCAGACATGGGTAATGGTATGATTATAGGACACTGTACTACGTGTGGCTACACAATATGATGATAAAAGCGACGGGGAAACATACGAATTTTTGTGAGATTTAGTACTATACCTCCTGCCATAATGGGGAATTCGGTGCCAGAGTCTACCGGAATAGTTTTCAGAATGTAACAAAGAATTAATGTACGACCAATATAGAGTGACTGGATCGATTTGACGCGAAGTATAACACTTCAGCAACACTCGAATTCCTTCGACAGGTGCTGGTGTTCGCATTCTGTCCGCCTTTTCAAATCGGGTTAGTTAAAATGGGGTGAGTAAGGATCACGCGTTACAGAGTACTCCGGAAACAGTCATAAGCACATTGTTAAGACGGTCGAACGTGCTGTACCCTGTCAGGGATTCTGATACGGTAAGCTGACAAAAATTAAGGGTGATCCACATAATGCGGGTTATTTACGACTTCCGATCATTCAGAAATGGTAAGAAGTGGTTTCGCCTTTGATCGGAGTTGATGGATAAAAAATGTTGTTCCTGTAATGGATATGGTGACGGTAGTGGCGATATCATAGATTCCTGACTGCAGTTAAAACATTTTGGCTTCATACTGACAATGTCGTTTGACCGCTAGTCCAATTCAAGTGTCACACGGCCAGAGTCAAACTGCGACATGAGGGTTGGTAGGTGAGTAAGAACTGGGATACTACCGGGTGTGTCTATTAACCCTGGTCCGCTTCAGTGTGAATATGAGACAGGGTACTTGTCAGCCTTAAGCTGCTGCTTAAACTAGGTGTGATTTCAGGTAATATTTTGCGATCATTAGTGCAGTGAACCACCGATGTTCACTGCAAGGTCGGTTATAGGCTGTCTACTTATTAACCCTAGGCAGCACTCACAGCACAACTAGTCTAGGCAAGTATGCAGCGTAGGAATGCGGTATCTGTTCTATACCGTAGATTCACCCTCACCAATGAATGAGGTTTGTCTTCTGTGGCTAAGTGTCAGCTGAAAATTCCACCCGAGTCCCCTGGGCTCGTCATTTAAACCGAGGATCTTAATGAGAAAACATAGGATAAAATCGTCCGAGTCTTAAATCAATTCACTCTTGGTTGGCAAAACAACCATGTGCTTTGCTGTATCGCTTTCAGCTGTTATCCCAAGTAAGAGACGTGTCCACCTAGCTTTACTCCCATTATTTCACTCACGGGTATCTGAATGGTTGACCTCTGACCTGTGGACTACTGCCTCAGGGAATGATAAAAAGGATTTTAAGAGCATGCAATTTCGGTTATACGATTTCGCGCGAGAAGGCGGGTCCAGTCATCCGATAAGAGGTGCTGATAGACTGGAGCTAAACCATCAGTGACTAAACATACACATATACTCATGTTCCATTGTGTCCGGTATACCCACTCTGTCTAAGAATTCCGAGCTTCTCTCAAACAACCTATCTGTTTCTCACTCCAGAATTCGTTTGCTTGTAGCGTGAAGAAACTTGGGAATGTCTGCTTCGTTTCCAACAGATCATTCATAAGGTCATTGATAGTGAACACTAATTGATCACTGTGCTCCACCGAATCGTTTACTGAACTCACACTATTACTTGGGTGATGTTCGGGTGGAAATGTCGCATACTAGAATATACCAAACTAATACGTAGTGTCCCTGACGTTGATATCACAAGGCTGCACACTCTTTGCCCCAGGAACTTCCTAAAGGACAGTTATTGTGTTCAATCAATTGGAAAATGTTTGGGACTGATTGGAAAGTCATCGTTTCAGAGGGGTTTGGTAAACAATCGGTGGATTTATTGCTGGGCAACGTTTCGCTTTGACACAAAAGCTTCGTCAGGCCAAGTGAGTAAGTAAGTAGGTTGATTGGGTTTTAAGGCTGTCGAGGAACCAATCCGTAAGATTCCTAATGACTAATGACGTGATCAGTGCTGGGTGTTCAGTCTGCTGTTCTTGTTTGTTGATTAGTGGGGATGACTAAGATTTACGACAGACTGGTTAGGGAGGATTCGTCTTTATGATGAACCCGGATTTTTTCGTCCTTGCTTCTTCAGTCTAGGATACCTTAATGGAAAATTCCTCTTTGGATCGTTCAGAGATTTCGTGCACCTGTGTTCGTCCAGCAATAAATCCACCGATTGTTTAATAAGTCCCTCTGAAACGAGACAGTTTTTATGCTTTTGCTGTCCGTTCAGAGTCCACGCAACAAAGTTGGGATTTCTGGAGATCAGTGACCACATGAGAACTAGTCATTTACGTCCATATTATGATACATTATGTGCAGACTATCTGCAAACACTATGTGACGGTGTTTGAGGACGAATTTCTCATATTCCTGATCATCATGCTTACTAACAATGGTCAACATACTTTTTACCGATAGTATGATTGTATGTTTCCGTACTTTGCAGAACGAATTCACTGTCATCTTTCTCGGGTTGAGGACATTTCATTTTTGGAGTAGCTGTTCCCTGGAATAGTTGGGCCTAATGCATAAGCGCTCAGGTTGGTGCTAACCAGAGTGGAGTCAGTGTGAACGCATTCTTAATCACACTTCGCGGGGAAGTTGACCAAGGATGAGTATTCGGGTTCACTGTCTGCGGTTTGCTGAGCACCGGCACTCGTTTGGCGTGAATACGGAATATCAGTCAAATAAATTTTCCGTCTTCATGACATACGCATCATTATCCGAACCAGTCTGCACGATTTAGCGTTTTTTCTGCATCGGGTTACAGCGCGACAAATCTCCATACTTCAGTATTAGTTCCTATATAGTATTCAGTTGCATTACGACGATAAAACTCAGCGAGCGAGGTTTTTAACTTGATCCCCGCTGGTCTTTAATCTCGTGCAAGTATCTCCTCTCTTTCAGCACTGTTCTTCTGGCTTCTTCTTCACAACATAGGCGAACACCGGATACAGCCACACAGGTGCTCGTTCTGTCCCTTTAGTCATTCCTTCTCCTATTTGAACACTCGTACTGAATACGGAGCAGCGTGAAACGACAAAAATGCCCACCTTGCGCCAACATCCCCAGGTTTGACATCGCTTCCAATGAGTTCAACTATACTTCATACTAGTTCGGCAAGAAACGTGAAAAATATTCTGCATAGATGGATCAGTAAGAAAGTAATGGTAGTCATGGATACTAATTGTAGTCGAGGTTCTCTGTTTTATACTGTCTTCAGATGAACAAATTAGCAAGACTGACGAGTACACAAGATTCAGTAGTTATTATTGCCAAACGTTTTCAAAAGTAGCCCGGAGGATGTGACATTTTAACAATACAGTGCAGCGATTCACAACACTGATCTCACAAATAGCTGGTCTGTGATGTACTCTGAGAACCCAATGGACGGGATAGCTTGATATAATCTTGATATAATCTAAATGAATATATCGGCGGGCCCCACAAGGAGTTGCGAAGCTCGAACTTCAAAAGAAAGTAGGTAGCAGTCTTTAAACTGAAAATGGTGAAAACTCAATTTGGACAACCACGTCCAGCAATAAATCCACCGATTGTTTAATAAGTCCCTCTGAAACGAGACAGTTTTTATGCTTTTGCTGTCCGTTCAGAGTCCACGCAACAAAGTTGGGATTTCTGGAGATCAGTGACCACATGAGAACTAGTCATTTACGTCCATATTATG